TGCTGCTGCTGCTGCTGCTGCTGCTGCTGCTGCTGCTGCTGCTGCTGCTGCTGCTGCTGCTGCTGCTGCTGCTGCTGCTGCTGCTGCTGCTGCTGCTGCTGCTGCTGCTGCTGCTGCTGCTGCTGCTGCTGCTGCTGCTGCTGCTGCTGCTGCTGCTGCTGCTGCTGCTGCTGCTGCTGCTGCTGCTGCTGCTGCTGCTGCTGCTGCTGCTGCTGCTGCTGCTGCTGCTGCTGCTGCTGCTGCTGCTGCTGCTGCTGCTGCTGCTGCTGCTGCTGCTGCTGCTGCTGCTGCTGCTGCTGCTGCTGCTGCTGCTGCTGCTGCTGCTGCTGCTGCTGCTGCTGCTGCTGCTGCTGCTGCTGCTGCTGCTGCTGCTGCTGCTGCTGCTGCTGCTGCTGCTGCTGCTGCTGCTGCTGCTGCTGCTGCTGCTGCTGCTGCTGCTGCTGCTGCTGCTGCTGCTGCTGCTGCTGCTGCTGCTGCTGCTGCTGCTGCTGCTGCTGCTGCTGCTGCTGCTGCTGCTGCTGCTGCTGCTGCTGCTGCTGCTGCTGCTGCTGCTGCTGCTGCTGCTGCTGCTGCTGCTGCTGCTGCTGCTGCTGCTGCTGCTGCTGCTGCTGCTGCTGCTGCTGCTGCTGCTGCTGCTGCTGCTGCTGCTGCTGCTGCTGCTGCTGCTGCTGCTGCTGCTGCTGCTGCTGCTGCTGCTGCTGCTGCTGCTGCTGCTGCTGCTGCTGCTGCTGCTGCTGCTGCTGCTGCTGCTGCTGCTGCTGCTGCTGCTGCTGCTGCTGCTGCTGCTGCTGCTGCTGCTGCTGCTGCTGCTGCTGCTGCTGCTGCTGCTGCTGCTGCTGCTGCTGCTGCTGCTGCTGCTGCTGCTGCTGCTGCTGCTGCTGCTGCTGCTGCTGCTGCTGCTGCTGCTGCTGCTGCTGCTGCTGCTGCTGCTGCTGCTGCTGCTGCTGCTGCTGCTGCTGCTGCTGCTGCTTGCTGCTGCTGCTGCTGCTGCTGCTGCTGCTGCTGCTGCTGCTGCTGCTGCTGCTGCTGCTGCTGCTGCTGCTGCTGCTGCTGCTGCTGCTGCTGCTGCTGCTGCTGCTGCTGCTGCTGCTGCTGCTGCTGCTGCTGCTGCTGCTGCTGCTGCTGCTGCTGCTGCTGCTGCTGCTGCTGCTGCTGCTGCTGCTGCTGCTGCTGCTGCTGCTGCTGCTGCTGCTGCTGCTGCTGCTGCTGCTGCTGCTGCTGCTGCTGCTGCTGCTGCTGCTGCTGCTGCTGCTGCTGCTGCTGCTGCTGCTGCTGCTGCTGCTGCTGCTGCTGCTGCTGCTGCTGCTGCTGCTGCTGCTGCTGCTGCTGCTGCTGCTGCTGCTGCTGCTGCTGCTGCTGCTGCTGCTGCTGCTGCTGCTGCTGCTGCTGCTGCTGCTGCTGCTGCTGCTGCTGCTGCTGCTGCTGCTGCTGCTGCTGCTGCTGCTGCTGCTGCTGCTGCTGCTGCTGCTGCTGCTGCTGCTGCTGCTGCTGCTGCTGCTGCTGCTGCTGCTGCTGCTGCTGCTGCTGCTGCTGCTGCTGCTGCTGCTGCTGCTGCTGCTGCTGCTGCTGCTGCTGCTGCTGCTGCTGCTGCTGCTGCTGCTGCTGCTGCTGCTGCTGCTGCTGCTGCTGCTGCTGCTGCTGCTGCTGCTGCTGCTGCTGCTGCTGCTGCTGCTGCTGCTGCTGCTGCTGCTGCTGCTGCTGCTGCTGCTGCTGCTGCTGCTGCTGCTGCTGCTGCTGCTGCTGCTGCTGCTGCTGCTGCTGGCTGCTGCTGCTGCTGCTGCTGCTGCTGCTGCTGCTGCTGCTGCTGCTGCTGCTGCTGCTGCTGCTGCTGCTGCTGCTGCTGCTGCTGCTGCTGCTGCTGCTGCTGCTGCTGCTGCTGCTGCTGCTGCTGCTGCTGCTGCTGCTGCTGCTGCTGCTGCTGCTGCTGCTGCTGCTGCTGCTGCTGCTGCTGCTGCTGCTGCTGCTGCTGCTGCTGCTGCTGCTGCTGCTGCTGCTGCTGCTGCTGCTGCTGCTGCTGCTGCTGCTGCTGCTGCTGCTGCTGCTGCTGCTGCTGCTGCTGCTGCTGCTGCTGCTGCTGCTGCTGCTGCTGCTGCTGCTGCTGCTGCTGCTGCTGCTGCTGCTGCTGCTGCTGCTGCTGCTGCTGCTGCTGCTGCTGCTGCTGCTGCTGCTGCTGCTGCTGCTGCTGCTGCTGCTGCTGCTGCTGCTGCTGCTGCTGCTGCTGCTGCTGCTGCTGCTGCTGCTGCTGCTGCTGCTGCTGCTGCTGCTGCTGCTGCTGCTGCTGCTGCTGCTGCTGCTGCTGCTGCTGCTGCTGCTGCTGCTGCTGCTGCTGCTGCTGCTGCTGCTGCTGCTGCTGCTGCTGCTGCTGCTGCTGCTGCTGCTGCTGCTGCTGCTGCTGCTGCTGCTGCTGTGCTGCTGCTGCTGCTGCTGCTGCTGCTGCTGCTGCTGCTGCTGCTGCTGCTGCTGCTGCTGCTGCTGCTGCTGCTGCTGCTGCTGCTGCTGCTGCTGCTGCTGCTGCTGCTGCTGCTGCTGCTGCTGCTGCTGCTGCTGCTGCTGCTGCTGCTGCTGCTGCTGCTGCTGCTGCTGCTGCTGCTGCTGCTGCTGCTGCTGCTGCTGCTGCTGCTGCTGCTGCTGCTGCTGCTGCTGCTGCTGCTGCTGCTGCTGCTGCTGCTGCTGCTGCTGCTGCTGCTGCTGCTGCTGCTGCTGCTGCTGCTGCTGCTGCTGCTGCTGCTGCTGCTGCTGCTGCTGCTGCTGCTGCTGCTGCTGCTGCTGCTGCTGCTGCTGCTGCTGCTGCTGCTGCTGCTGCTGCTGCTGCTGCTGCTGCTGCTGCTGCTGCTGCTGCTGCTGCTGCTGCTGCTGCTGCTGCTGCTGCTGCTGCTGCTGCTGCTGCTGCTGCTGCTGCTGCTGCTGCTGCTGCTGCTGCTGCTGCTGCTGCTGCTTGCTGCTGCTGCTGCTGCTGCTGCTGCTGCTGCTGCTGCTGCTGCTGCTGCTGCTGCTGCTGCTGCTGCTGCTGCTGCTGCTGCTGCTGCTGCTGCTGCTGCTGCTGCTGTGCTGCTGCTGCTGCTGCTGCTGCTGCTGCTGCTGCTGCTGCTGCTGCTGCTGCTGCTGCTGCTGCTGCTGCTGTGCTGCTGCTGCTGCTGCTGCTGCTGCTGCTGCTGCTGCTGCTGCTGCTGCTGCTGCTGCTGCTGCTGCTGCTGCTGCTGCTGCTGCTGCTGCTGCTGCTGCTGCTGCTGCTGCTGCTGCTGCTGCTGCTGCTGCTGCTGCTGTGCTGCTGCTGCTGCTGCTGCTGCTGCTGCTGCTGCTGCTGCTGCTGCTGCTGCTGCTGCTGCTGCTGCTGCTGCTGCTGCTGCTGCTGCTGCTGCTGCTGCTGCTGCTGCTGCTGCTGCTGCTGCTGCTGCTGCTGCTGCTGCTGCTGCTGCTGCTGCTGCTGCTGCTGCTGCTGCTGCTGCTGCTGCTGCTGCTGCTGCTGCTGCTGCTGTGCTGCTGCTGCTGCTGCTGCTGCTGCTGCTGCTGCTGCTGCTGCTGCTGCTGCTGCTGCTGCTGCTGCTGCTGCTGCTGCTGCTGCTGCTGCTGCTGCTGCTGCTGCTGCTGCTGCTGCTGCTGCTGCTGCTGCTGCTGCTGCTGCTGCTGCTGCTGCTGCTGCTGCTGCTGCTGCTGCTGCTGCTGCTGCTGCTGCTGCTGCTGCTGCTGCTGCTGCTGCTGCTGCTGCTGCTGCTGCTGCTGCTGCTGCTGCTGCTGCTGCTGCTGCTGCTGCTGCTGCTGCTGCTGCTGCTGCTGCTGCTGCTGCTGCTGCTGCTGCTGCTGCTGCTGCTGCTGCTGCTGCTGCTGCTGCTGCTGCTGCTGCTGCTGCTGCTGCTGCTGCTGCTGCTGCTGCTGCTGCTGCTGCTGCTGCTGCTGCTGCTGCTGCTGCTGCTGCTGCTGCTGCTGCTGCTGCTGCTGCTGCTGCTGCTGCTGCTGCTGCTGCTGCTGCTGCTGCTGCTGCTGCTGCTGCTGCTGCTGCTGCTGCTGCTGCTGCTGCTGCTGCTGCTGCTGCTGCTGCTGCTGCTGCTGCTGCTGCTGCTGCTGCTGCTGCTGCTGCTGCTGCTGCTGCTGCTGCTGCTGCTGCTGCTGCTGCTGCTGCTGCTGCTGCTGCTGCTGCTGCTGCTGCTGCTGCTGCTGCTGCTGCTGCTGCTGCTGCTGCTGCTGCTGCTGCTGCTGCTGCTGCTGCTGCTGCTGCTGCTGCTGCTGCTGCTGCTGCTGCTGCTGCTGCTGCTGCTGCTGCTGCTGCTGCTGCTGCTGCTGCTGCTGCTGCTGCTGCTGCTGCTGCTGCTGCTGCTGCTGCTGCTGCTGCTGCTGCTGCTGCTGCTGCTGCTGCTGCTGCTGCTGCTGCTGCTGCTGCTGCTGCTGCTGCTGCTGCTGCTGCTGCTGCTGCTGCTGCTGCTGCTGCTGCTGCTGCTGCTGCTGCTGCTGCTGCTGCTGCTGCTGCTGCTGCTGCTGCTGCTGCTGCTGCTGCTGCTGCTGCTGCTGCTGCTGCTGCTGCTGCTGCTGCTGCTGCTGCTGCTGCTGCTGCTGCTGCTGCTGCTGCTGCTGCTGCTGCTGCTGCTGCTGCTGCTGCTGCTGCTGCTGCTGCTGCTGCTGCTGCTGCTGCTGCTGCTGCTGCTGCTGCTGCTGCTGCTGCTGCTGCTGCTGCTGCTGCTGCTGCTGCTGCTGCTGCTGCTGCTGCTGCTGCTGCTGCTGCTGCTGCTGCTGCTGCTGCTGCTGCTGCTGCTGCTGCTGCTGCTGCTGCTGCTGCTGCTGCTGCTGCTGCTGCTGCTGCTGCTGCTGCTGCTGCTGCTGCTGCTGCTGCTGCTGCTGCTGCTGCTGCTGCTGCTGCTGCTGCTGCTGCTGCTGCTGCTGCTGCTGCTGCTGCTGCTGCTGCTGCTGCTGCTGCTGCTGCTGCTGCTGCTGCTGCTGCTGCTGCTGCTGCTGCTGCTGCTGCTGCTGCTGCTGCTGCTGCTGCTGCTGCTGCTGCTGCTGCTGCTGCTGCTGCTGCTGCTGCTGCTGCTGCTGCTGCTGCTGCTGCTGCTGCTGCTGCTGCTGCTGCTGCTGCTGCTGCTGCTGCTGCTGCTGCTGCTGCTGCTGCTGCTGCTGCTGCTGCTGCTGCTGCTGCTGCTGCTGCTGCTGCTGCTGCTGCTGCTGCTGCTGCTGCTGCTGCTGCTGCTGCTGCTGCTGCTGCTGCTGCTGCTGCTGCTGCTGCTGCTGCTGCTGCTGCTGCTGCTGCTGCTGCTGCTGCTGCTGCTGCTGCTGCTGCTGCTGCTGCTGCTGCTGCTGCTGCTGCTGCTGCTGCTGCTGCTGCTGCTGCTGCTGCTGCTGCTGCTGCTGCTGCTGCTGCTGCTGCTGCTGCTGCTGCTGCTGCTGCTGCTGCTGCTGCTGCTGCTGCTGCTGCTGCTGCTGCTGCTGCTGCTGCTGCTGCTGCTGCTGCTGCTGCTGCTGCTGCTGCTGCTGCTGCTGCTGCTGCTGCTGCTGCTGCTGCTGCTGCTGCTGCTGCTGCTGCTGCTGCTGCTGCTGCTGCTGCTGCTGCTGCTGCTGCTGCTGCTGCTGCTGCTGCTGCTGCTGCTGCTGCTGCTGCTGCTGCTGCTGCTGCTGCTGCTGCTGCTGCTGCTGCTGCTGCTGCTGTGCTGCTGCTGCTGCTGCTGCTGCTGCTGCTGCTGCTGCTGCTGCTGCTGCTGCTGCTGCTGCTGCTGCTGCTGCTGCTGCTGCTGCTGCTGCTGCTGCTGCTGCTGCTGCTGCTGCTGCTGCTGCTGCTGCTGCTGCTGCTGCTGCTGCTGCTGCTGCTGCTGCTGCTGCTGCTGCTGCTGCTGCTGCTGCTGCTGCTGCTGCTGCTGCTGCTGCTGCTGCTGCTGCTGCTGCTGCTGCTGCTGCTGCTGCTGCTGCTGCTGCTGCTGCTGCTGCTGCTGCTGCTGCTGCTGCTGCTGCTGCTGCTGCTGCTGCTGCTGCTGCTGCTGCTGCTGCTGCTGCTGCTGCTGCTGCTGCTGCTGCTGCTGCTGCTGCTGCTGCTGCTGCTGCTGCTGCTGCTGCTGCTGCTGCTGCTGCTGCTGCTGCTGCTGCTGCTGCTGCTGCTGCTGCTGCTGCTGCTGCTGCTGCTGCTGCTGCTGCTGCTGCTGCTGCTGCTGCTGCTGCTGCTGCTGCTGCTGCTGCTGCTGCTGCTGCTGCTGCTGCTGCTGCTGCTGCTGCTGCTGCTGCTGCTGCTGCTGCTGCTGCTGCTGCTGCTGCTGCTGCTGCTGCTGCTGCTGCTGCTGCTGCTGCTGCTGCTGCTGCTGCTGCTGCTGCTGCTGCTGCTGCTGCTGCTGCTGCTGCTGCTGCTGCTGCTGCTGCTGCTGCTGCTGCTGCTGCTGCTGCTGCTGCTGCTGCTGCTGCTGCTGCTGCTGCTGCTGCTGCTGCTGCTGCTGCTGCTGCTGCTGCTGCTGCTGCTGCTGCTGCTGCTGCTGCTGCTGCTGCTGCTGCTGCTGCTGCTGCTGCTGCTGCTGCTGCTGCTGCTGCTGCTGCTGCTGCTGCTGCTGCTGCTGCTGCTGCTGCTGTGCTGCTGCTGCTGCTGCTGCTGCTGCTGCTGCTGCTGCTGCTGCTGCTGCTGCTGCTGCTGCTGCTGCTGCTGCTGCTGCTGCTGCTGCTGCTGCTGCTGCTGCTGCTGCTGCTGCTGCTGCTGCTGCTGCTGCTGCTGCTGCTGCTGCTGCTGCTGCTGCTGCTGCTGCTGCTGCTGCTGCTGCTGCTGCTGCTGCTGCTGCTGCTGCTGCTGCTGCTGCTGCTGCTGCTGCTGCTGCTGCTGCTGCTGCTGCTGCTGCTGCTGCTGCTGTGCTGCTGCTGCTGCTGCTGCTGCTGCTGCTGCTGCTGCTGCTGCTGCTGCTGCTGCTGCTGCTGCTGCTGCTGCTGCTGCTGCTGCTGCTGCTGCTGCTGCTGCTGCTGCTGCTGCTGCTGCTGCTGCTGCTGCTGCTGCTGCTGCTGCTGCTGCTGCTGCTGCTGCTGCTGCTGCTGCTGCTGCTGCTGCTGCTGCTGCTGCTGCTGCTGCTGCTGCTGCTGCTGCTGCTGCTGCTGCTGCTGCTGCTGCTGCTGCTGCTGCTGCTGCTGCTGCTGCTGCTGCTGCTGCTGCTGCTGCTGCTGCTGCTGCTGCTGCTGCTGCTGCTGCTGCTGCTGCTGCTGCTGCTGCTGCTGCTGCTGCTGCTGCTGCTGCTGCTGCTGCTGCTGCTGCTGCTGCTGCTGCTGCTGCTGCTGCTGCTGCTGCTGCTGCTGCTGCTGCTGCTGCTGCTGCTGCTGCTGCTGCTGCTGCTGCTGCTGCTGCTGCTGCTGCTGCTGCTGCTGCTGCTGCTGCTGCTGCTGCTGCTGCTGCTGCTGCTGCTGCTGCTGCTGCTGCTGCTGCTGCTGCTGCTGCTGCTGCTGCTGCTGCTGCTGCTGCTGCTGCTGCTGCTGCTGCTGCTGCTGCTGCTGCTGCTGCTGCTGCTGCTGCTGCTGCTGCTGCTGCTGCTGCTGCTGCTGCTGCTGCTGCTGCTGCTGCTGCTGCTGCTGCTGCTGCTGCTGCTGCTGTGCTGCTGCTGCTGCTGCTGCTGCTGCTGCTGCTGCTGCTGCTGCTGCTGCTGCTGCTGCTGCTGCTGCTGCTGCTGCTGCTGCTGCTGCTGCTGCTGCTGCTGCTGCTGCTGCTTGCTGCTGCTGCTGCTGCTGCTGCTGCTGCTGCTGCTGCTGCTGCTGCTGCTGCTGCTGCTGCTGCTGCTGCTGCTGCTGCTGCTGCTGCTGCTGCTGCTGCTGCTGCTGCTGCTGCTGCTGCTGCTGCTGCTGCTGCTGCTGCTGCTGCTGCTGCTGCTGCTGCTGCTGCTGCTGCTGCTGCTGCTGCTGCTGCTGCTGCTGCTGCTGCTGCTGCTGCTGCTGCTGCTGCTGCTGCTGCTGCTGCTGCTGCTGCTGCTGCTGCTGCTGCTGCTGCTGCTGCTGCTGCTGCTGCTGCTGCTGCTGCTGCTGCTGCTGCTGCTGCTGCTGCTGCTGCTGCTGCTGCTGCTGCTGCTGCTGCTGCTGCTGCTGCTGCTGCTGCTGCTGCTGCTGCTGCTGCTGCTGCTGCTGCTGCTGCTGCTGCTGCTGCTGCTGCTGCTGCTGCTGCTGCTGCTGCTGCTGCTGTGCTGCTGCTGCTGCTGCTGCTGCTGCTGCTGCTGCTGCTGCTGCTGCTGCTGCTGCTGCTGCTGCTGCTGCTGCTGCTGCTGCTGCTGCTGCTGCTGCTGCTGCTGCTGCTGCTGCTGCTGCTGCTGCTGCTGCTGCTGCTGCTGCTGCTGCTGCTGCTGCTGCTGCTGCTGCTGCTGCTGCTGCTGCTGCTGCTGCTGCTGCTGCTGCTGCTGCTGCTGCTGCTGCTGCTGCTGCTGCTGCTGCTGCTGCTGCTGCTGCTGCTGCTGCTGCTGCTGCTGCTGCTGCTGCTGCTGCTGCTGCTGCTGCTGCTGCTGCTGCTGCTGCTGCTGCTGCTGCTGCTGCTGCTGCTGCTGCTGCTGCTGCTGCTGCTGCTGCTGCTGCTGCTGCTGCTGCTGCTGCTGCTGCTGCTGCTGCTGCTGCTGCTGCTGCTGCTGCTGCTGCTGCTGCTGCTGCTGCTGCTGCTGCTGCTGCTGCTGCTGCTGCTGCTGCTGCTGCTGCTGCTGCTGCTGCTGCTGCTGCTGCTGCTGCTGCTGCTGCTGCTGCTGCTGCTGCTGCTGCTGCTGCTGCTGCTGCTGCTGCTGCTGCTGCTGCTGCTGCTGCTGCTGCTGCTGCTGCTGCTGCTGCTGCTGCTGCTGCTGCTGCTGCTGCTGCTGCTGCTGCTGCTGCTGCTGCTGCTGCTGCTGCTGCTGCTGCTGCTGCTGCTGCTGCTGCTGCTGCTGCTGCTGCTGCTGCTGCTGCTGCTGCTGCTGCTGCTGCTGCTGCTGCTGCTGCTGCTGCTGCTGCTGCTGCTGCTGCTGCTGCTGCTGCTGCTGCTGCTGCTGCTGCTGCTGCTGCTGCTGCTGCTGCTGCTGCTGCTGCTGCTGCTGCTGCTGCTGCTGCTGCTGCTGCTGCTGCTGCTGCTGCTGCTGCTGCTGCTGCTGCTGCTGCTGCTGCTGCTGCTGCTGCTGCTGCTGCTGCTGCTGCTGCTGCTGCTGCTGCTGCTGCTGCTGCTGCTGCTGCTGCTGCTGCTGCTGCTGCTGCTGCTGCTGCTGCTGCTGCTGCTGCTGCTGCTGCTGCTGCTGCTGCTGCTGCTGCTGCTGCTGCTGCTGCTGCTGCTGCTGCTGCTGCTGCTGCTGCTGCTGCTGCTGCTGCTGCTGCTGCTGCTGCTGCTGCTGCTGCTGCTGCTGCTGCTGCTGCTGCTGCTGCTGCTGCTGCTGCTGCTGCTGCTGCTGCTGCTGCTGCTGCTGCTGCTGCTGCTGCTGCTGCTGCTGCTGCTGCTGCTGCTGCTGCTGCTGCTGCTGCTGCTGCTGCTGCTGCTGCTGCTGCTGCTGCTGCTGCTGCTGCTGCTGCTGCTGCTGCTGCTGCTGCTGCTGCTGCTGCTGCTGCTGCTGCTGCTGCTGCTGCTGCTGCTGCTGCTGCTGCTGCTGCTGCTGCTGCTGCTGCTGCTGCTGCTGCTGCTGCTGCTGCTGCTGCTGCTGCTGCTGCTGCTGCTGCTGCTGCTGCTGCTGCTGCTGCTGCTGCTGCTGCTGCTGCTGCTGCTGCTGCTGCTGCTGCTGCTGCTGCTGCTGCTGCTGCTGCTGCTGCTGCTGCTGCTGCTGCTGCTGCTGCTGCTGCTGCTGCTGCTGCTGCTGCTGCTGCTGCTGCTGCTGCTGCTGCTGCTGCTGCTGCTGCTGCTGCTGCTGCTGCTGCTGCTGCTGCTGCTGCTGCTGCTGCTGCTGCTGCTGCTGCTGCTGCTGCTGCTGCTGCTGCTGCTGCTGCTGCTGCTGCTGCTGCTGCTGCTGCTGCTGCTGCTGCTGCTGCTGCTGCTGCTGCTGCTGCTGCTGCTGCTGCTGCTGCTGCTGCTGCTGCTGCTGCTGCTGCTGCTGCTGCTGCTGCTGCTGCTGCTGCTGCTGCTGCTGCTGCTGCTGCTGCTGCTGCTGCTGCTGCTGCTGCTGCTGCTGCTGCTGCTGCTGCTGCTGCTGCTGCTGCTGCTGCTGCTGCTGCTGCTGCTGCTGCTGCTGCTGCTGCTGCTGCTGCTGCTGCTGCTGCTGCTGCTGCTGCTGCTGCTGCTGCTGCTGCTGCTGCTGCTGCTGCTGCTGCTGCTGCTGCTGCTGCTGCTGCTGCTGCTGCTGCTGCTGCTGCTGCTGCTGCTGCTGCTGCTGCTGCTGCTGCTGCTGCTGCTGCTGCTGCTGCTGCTGCTGCTGCTGCTGCTGCTGCTGCTGCTGCTGCTGCTGCTGCTGCTGCTGCTGCTGCTGCTGCTGCTGCTGCTGCTGCTGCTGCTGCTGCTGCTGCTGCTGCTGCTGCTGCTGCTGCTGCTGCTGCTGCTGCTGCTGCTGCTGCTGCTGCTGCTGCTGCTGCTGCTGCTGCTGCTGCTGCTGCTGCTGCTGCTGCTGCTGCTGCTGCTGCTGCTGCTGCTGCTGCTGCTGCTGCTGCTGCTGCTGCTGCTGCTGCTGCTGCTGCTGCTGCTGCTGCTGCTGCTGCTGCTGCTGCTGCTGCTGCTGCTGCTGCTGCTGCTGCTGCTGCTGCTGCTGCTGCTGCTGCTGCTGCTGCTGCTGCTGCTGCTGCTGCTGCTGCTGCTGCTGCTGCTGCTGCTGCTGCTGCTGCTGCTGCTGCTGCTGCTGCTGCTGCTGCTGCTGCTGCTGCTGCTGCTGCTGCTGCTGCTGCTGCTGCTGCTGCTGCTGCTGCTGCTGCTGCTGCTGCTGCTGCTGCTGCTGCTGCTGCTGCTGCTGCTGCTGCTGCTGCTGCTGCTGCTGCTGCTGCTGCTGCTGCTGCTGCTGCTGCTGCTGCTGCTGCTGCTGCTGCTGCTGCTGCTGCTGCTGCTGCTGCTGCTGCTGCTGCTGCTGCTGCTGCTGCTGCTGCTGCTGCTGCTGCTGCTGCTGCTGCTGCTGCTGCTGCTGCTGCTGCTGCTGCTGCTGCTGCTGCTGCTGCTGCTGCTGCTGCTGCTGCTGCTGCTGCTGCTGCTGCTGCTGCTGCTGCTGCTGCTGCTGCTGCTGCTGCTGCTGCTGCTGCTGCTGCTGCTGCTGCTGCTGCTGCTGCTGCTGCTGCTGCTGCTGCTGCTGCTGCTGCTGCTGCTGCTGCTGCTGCTGCTGCTGCTGCTGCTGCTGCTGCTGCTGCTGCTGCTGCTGCTGCTGCTGCTGCTGCTGCTGCTGCTGCTGCTGCTGTTGTTGCTGCTGCTGCTGCTGTGGTTGTGGCTGAGGCTGTGGTTGCTGCTGTAAATGCGGCTGGTGCTGCTGCTGCTGCAACTGCAACATGTGTTGCTGCTGCTGCTGCTGCTGCTGAAGATATTGCTGCTGCGGCTGGTACTGCAACTGCTGTTGCGTTTGCCCTGTGTTACCTGCCCCGCCCTTAGCCCCTCCCTGCTGCGGGGGCATCAGATGCAGCTGCAGTGACGACTGCTGCTGCTGGTACTGACTTTGCTGCTCCTGCCCCTTCTGCTGCTGGTGGTACTGACTCTGCTGCTCCTGCCCCTTCTGCTGCTGAAGATGTAGTAGGTTCTGTTGCCCTATCACTGATTGTCCAGTCATGTGTTGCCCTGTCAGATGCTGACCTGCCTGTTGCAAGGGCAGTCGCGCTTGCAGCAACTGTGGTGCCTGTTGCTGCTGTGTTGGCTGCGGTTGTTGGTGCTGTTGGTGCTGCTGCTGGTGCTGCTGATGGCTCTGCTGCTGTTGGTGCAGCAGCTGTTGGTGTTGCCGTGGCTGTGACTGCTGCTGCTGTGGTTGCTGGGCAGGAGGCAGATGTTGAAAGTTTATCCCCGGATGCTGCTGCTGCTGTTGTTGCTGCTGTTGTAGCTGTTGCTGTTGCTGTTGCTGTTGCTGTTGTTGCTGTTGTTGCTGCTGTTGCTGCTGTTGCTGTTGCTGCTGTTGCTGCTGCTGTTGCTGTTGCTGTTGCTGTTGCTGTTGCTGTTGCTGCAAATGCAACTGCAGCTGCTGTTGCTGCTGTGGATGCTGCAACAACGGCTGCCCCATCAACTGCCCACCCACCACCATCTCTGACCCCTTCTGCGTTCCCCCCATCATCACCCCCCCACTGGCACCCCCTGTTACCCCGCCCAACATACCCCCACCGCTACCCACTGCCCCTGCAATGCCTGGCACAGGAGGGGCGGAGGGGGAGTGTAAGGGGCCTGCAGCAGCAGCCAGGGCGGCGGCAGCAGAGGCGCGGAGGGAAGCAGAGGAGGCTGGGCCATGCTTGGTCTGCCTGGTGCTGCCGTCTGTAGGGAAGGGGGCGGGGAGGGGGGTGGCGGAGACAGGGGGGAAGTATTGTGAGAGAGGGAGGCGAAGGGGGCGAGTGTACAGGGCTCTGCTGCAGCAGCCAGGGAGGCAGCAGCAGGAGCGTGAAGGGCAGCAGAGGAGGCAGGGCCGTGCTTGATTAGTGCAAATCAGCATGCTAAAAGAAGGGAAAGAAACACACACACACACACACGCACGCACTCACTCACTCACTCACTCACTCACTCACACACACACACACACACACACACACACGCCAAAGAAAAACATATGACGAACCTGTGTGGCCGTGTGCAGCAGCGGCAGCAATCTGGTGTTGACTGACTTTCTCCAACACACTCTGCCTCCCACCAACCGCCCCTGGCCCCACTCCTGCCACAATTCCCCCTCCTCCTGCTGACCTCCCCCCACCTCCCGGCCCCACAACCCCCTCCCCTGCTCCTCCCCCCATCCCCGGCCCTCCCCCATACTGACCCCGCCCATCTGCCTCACTCCCCCCACACACAAGCAGCCGAGACACATCAGCCGCCGCCCCTGCGCCCTGCCCGCCCGCGCCCACGCCCATCCCCGCCCCAGCTGCTGCTGCAATGGGGAACCCTAGAGGCGGAGAAGGAAGGACAGCGCGAGGCGAGGCTAGGGGAGTGCCCAGAAGACTCGTTGATCCTGCACCTGGGTTTACACCTGAAGAGCCACCAGCAGCACCTGCTGCTGCTGCAGCAGCAACAGCAGCGGAAAAGGGTCCCTGCGAGTCTCTGCTGGCCGGGCCGAGGGTGGGTGGGAGGGAAAGCACCGGCCCCATAGGACCTGATCCGTCCGGTGGGGTGGAAGGGGCACTGCCTACTTTCCCACCTGCTGCTCCTCCCCCTCCTCCCGCTGCCCCCGCTCCTGCTGCTGCAGCTGCACCTGCTGGTACGGTCTGTGCTGCAGCCACTGCAGGTCCTTTAGCAGAGTGTTCACCCCCCGCTTGACCCCCTGACGCCGCTGCTGCCGCTGCTGCTGCACCTGCCCCTCTCCGCTTCTTGAGAGGTGCTGTGACACAGGGAAGGCGGTACAGGGGGGGCGGGGGGAAGGGGGGAAGGGGGGAAGGGGGGAAGGGGTGAAGAGGAGAGCATGGTGTTCTGAAACGTTTCAACCCAAGAGGGGCGTTTTTTGAAACGTCTCAAATCCGCTGTTGCTGCTGCCTCTCACTGCTTTTTGAGAGGTGCTGTGGCCTCGGGAGGGGAAGTACAAGGAAAAGGGGGATGCATGATATGTATGGCATGTAGCACTGTGCAACCACCTTTGAGGATTCTAAAAAAACGAGCGCAACCACAATCCTATAATCAGAGGCAAACGCAGGCAAATCCCGGCCCTTACCGAAACAAGCACAGCCACTCCGAAGCACATGCACTCACCACCATCAGGCCCTGCCGCTGCTGCCTTTCGAGTCGACATAAAAAATTTCGAGTCGACTCAACAGACTTTTGAGTCGACTCAAAAGTCACCCCGAGACAAGCACAGCCACTCCGAAGCACATGCACTCACCACCATCAGGCCCTGCTGCTGCTGCTTTCGCCCCTCGTTTCCTTGACTCGTCTTTCCTGGAACCCCCTCCTTGCTTCCGCCCGCCTTCTCCCCCTTCTGCACCCACCCCCTCCTCTCTCTTCCCTGCACCTTCCCCTCTCTTCCTAACCACACCCGTTTGCTGTACACCCACACCCTCTACAGTCACCCCATTGGCAGCAGCAGCATTACCAGCCTCCGCCACCACAGACGCTGCAGCCGCCGCAGCAGCAGTTGCAGCAGCAGCAGCAGCGCCATCAGCAGCAGCAGCAGCGGCAGCGGCATCAGCCCCTTCCTCTTCAGCTTCATTTGATCCGAACGCGAGGAGGTTGGCAAAGTCAAAGAGCGCCTCTGCTACCTCTGCCTCCTGCGCTGACATCGACACAGGAGCAGTCGGCCTACCACCAGGCCCAGGCGCCCCTGCTGCTGCTCCCCCTGCTGCCCCAGATGCTGTGCCTGGGCCGGCTTTTGGCCGGCCTGCCGGGGGGTGAGGACCTGCTGCCATGGGGGCAGATGCTGCAGCCGCCGCCGCTGCTGCTGCTGCTGCTGCTGCTTTGGCCTGGAGGCGAGAAAGGGAGGGAACAGTTACAGGAGACTTGAATCATAGCAGATTGGCAGTTATGCAGAAGAGAGATGGGAACATGGAGCCAAGAAGATGATAACAAGAAACGAGCAGGAGAATGCTGACACAACAAGACCAGAAAGGGGCCACATCTTGCTCACACACCAGACAGAAAGGTGGAGGTAAGAAGAGAAAGACTGTTACAGGAAAAGAAAACCCGAGCTCACCTTTGCCGTACGTCCCTTGACTTTTTCGCCTGCCCCAGCCTGCCCAGCCACACTTCCTCTTCCCCCCTCTCCCCTACCGCCCCTTGCCCCCCTCCCCCCTCGCCCTCCGCCCTCCCCTCCCTCCCCTTTGTTCCCCCTCCCCCCGCCTCTGGGCCCAGTTCCCCCCCCTCCCCGCCCCCCGCCTCTGCTCCTCCCGCCTGAAGCTGCAACTGGCGCCGCAGCAGTTGCTGCTGCAGTGGAAACTCCTGCACCACCAGCCCCAGCCACAGCAGCAGCAGCCGCCGCTGCTGCAGCAGACGCAGATGCAGCCCCAGCAGCAGCAGCAGCAGAAGCGGCAGCAGCAACACCAGCGGCAGTACTACCAGAAGCGCCCATACCACCAACTGCTACCCCTGCACCAGCAGCAGTACCTTCCTCTGTTCCAACCCCACCTCCTCCCCTGCCTCCCTCTCCTCCCCCTCTTCCCCCCTCTCCTTCTCCCCCTGCTGAAACAACCACACCCGCCACACCACCACCCTCTCCTCCACCACCTCCCCCTCCTCCCCCTCCTCCCCCTCCTCCCCCTCCTCCTCCTCCACCCCCTCCACCTCCCCGTCCCCCGCCTCGTCCCCCTCGACCCAGCCCTCTCACTCCCCTCCCTCTCCCTGCAAACGCTCCCTCCCCTTCCCCATGCCCGCCACCTGCTTTCCCAGCCGCTTTGCTCTCCCCAGTCTCGGCTGCACCCCCACCCCCAGAGGCAGCGTGACCCTGACCTAAGCGCCAGTCCACATGCGCCGCCCCACCCCCAGCTGCCGCTGCTGCAGGAGCAGCAGCGTCTGTGCTGGGGGATATGAACCCAGAGGCTGCATCTGCTGCTGCTGCTGCTGGCACTGCTGCTGCGTGGCTGCTGCTAGCGAAACCAGATCCCATCTCTGCTGCTGCTGACGCGTTTGGGCGAGCGGGAGTAGCAGCAGGAGCAGCAGGAGAAGCAGCAGCAGCAGGAGGAGGAGACGGAGTAGGAGGGAGCGCGAAGGGTCTGATGTGGGATGCATCCGTGTCCCCTCCCAGCCTGTGCTTTGGATCACCGGCTTCAGCTCTTGCTTGTGCTGCTGCCGCCGCTGCTGCTGCCGCTGCTGCTGCTCTCTGGTAGAGGAAAAAATGCACGAGAAGGAACATAGTCGCTATGAGGAAGAGGGTTTGTAGCACAGGAATTGGTAATCTCTGAGACGAGGTGAAAGGAGAGGAAAGGGAGATTATAGGAGAGGAGATGAGTGGAGATGCGAGAAGACAGATGAGGCATACTTGGAGAGAGAGAGTATGCTAGACAATGGATACAAAGAAGAATACACAAAGTGCAAGGGAACAAGAGTATGGGAGGAAAAGAAGACAGAGAAAAGTAGAGAGTAGAGATGCAACAAGGGGCCACGAACCTCGTTCTTCCTTGGCTTGGATCGAGCTGCTCGCACCTCCCCCTCTCCAACCCCCACTCCCACAGAACCACCAGCACCAGACAGACGCGTCCCAGGCGCACCAGCCGCCACAGAAACCCCCCCTGGCATCCCAAGCCCTTCTGCTGCCTGCCCGCCTGGCAGCCTCATGTCTCCCCCCTGACTCCCCCCCTCACTGCCTCCAAACCGGGCACCTCCCAAGCTTCCCCCCTCGTTGCTCCCAGCCCAGGCTCCCCCCAAGCTTCCCCCCTCGCTGCCCCCCATGCGGTCTGCAGCAGGCGCAAGACCTGTTACTGCCGCCCCGTGTCCGTGTCCCCCTGCTTGCAATCCTTGACCGGACTGGCCGGGCAAATGGGGAGGCATGGAGTCAGGCAGGGAATGGGAAGGGACAGGACCCAAGCTCCCATGCCCATGCCCATGCCCATGCCCAAACTTCCCATGCCCGTGCCCATGGCCATGCCCATGCCCATGTCCATGCCCATGCGCAAGCCCATGCCCGTGCCCGTGCCCATGCTTATGAAGTGATGCTGAAGGATCCTGTTGCTGATGCTGCTGCTGCTGCTGCTGCTGCTGCAGCGGCTGTGCCAACCCCTGTTGCGGTTGCTGGAGAAACGGGGAAGAGAACGGCGGTATTCTAAGCCCCGTTCTCGCTCCCTGGTTCTGACTCAACTGCGCCATTCCCTTCCCTAACTCCTGAACCGGAAAACCTTGGCTCGGCAGCTCCAGCTGCTCCGAGCCAGGCCCGCCTGCAGGTCCGGCAGCCCGAGCCTGGCTTGCTGGCGAGTCGTGCTTGTGCCTGCTGCCCCTCTTGCCCGTCTCATGCGGCCTCAGGTGCAGCAACTGCGGCTCCTGCCCTTCCTTCTCCCCTTTCGCCTCCTTCTCAACATGCTGATTATGCTCCTTATGATCCTTATGCTCCCTATGCTCCCTCCCGGCCCTAGGCACCCCATCCCGCCCCTCCTTAACCCCTCTTCTCTTCCCCACAGGATGCCGATGCTCCCTCTGTTCCCTCTGGTCCCTTTTCAAACCTCCCGCCCCCCCACTTCCCACTCCCTCCTGCTCCGCCTCACCCTCCCCTCTCTCCCTCGCAGCGTCAACCCCTCCGCCGTGGGAACCATGCTCTCTCTGCTCTCTCCCACTCGCCCTCCTTCTCCCGTCCTCCGATCCCTCCTGCTGTTCCACATTGTTTACACCCCCTGGGCTCAACCCCTCCGGCCAGGATCGCAAACCCGTGCTTTGCATTGCAGATTCTCCCAGAAACGCACCCGCTGCTTTCCCTGCTGCAGGAGACCCGCCAATAGCAGCGCCACCAGCACCAGCGCCACCAGCACTAGCTGCGGCAGCACCCGCTGCTGCCACAGCAGCAACGGCAGCAGCAGCAGCAGACGTTTTCCTTTTGCGAGAGTGAGAGCCGTCCCCGGATATAACCTTCCTCTCCCTGCCGTGCGCCATAGCCGCCTGCCCTTTCAACTCCCTCTCCCCGCTCGCCTCTCTCTCGCCCCCATCCCCACTGCTAACTCCCCAATCGTCCCCATCCTGCCTTTCCTCTTGCCCCATCCCCCCCTCCTCCGCCCTTCTCTCCCCTCCTGCGCCAGCAGCAGGAGAGGAGAAAACCGACGGGGAGTGCGACCCCAGCGGCGGCGTCAGCGCATTTCCCTCATGCCAACGCTCGCTCTCCCCCCGTTTGTCTCTCCCTCGCTCCTCCTTCCTCTCCTCCTTCCTCTCCCTCTCTCTGTCCCTCTCCCACGAGCCAGGGGACGGTGAGGCGTCTTCATGCGAAGCACCGTCCCAACGAGGCGTGACGTCCAGGTGATGAGGCTCTGACGACCGTTTCACCTTGGCTGTAGCGTACAAACAGGGACGCAGGGGAGGGGAGCAGGGAAGATGAGCTTTTGAGGAACATCACAAGTGTAACACCAAGGTGTCTTGTCTTCATGCGATGCACCGTCCCAACGGGGCGTGACGTCCAGATGATGGGCCTCGGACGACCGCCTCACCACGGCTGTATTGAACAAACAGGGGGTTGCAGGTTGCAAGAGAAAGGCAAAGAGGGAGGGAAGTAGAACTTGAAAGGTTTCTCACCCGAAGACCAAGTTGTCTTATCGTAAAGCACCATTTCAAGCACAGCAAGTGTCACGCTCGGAAAATGAGGCTTGGAGGATCGGGCTTCATTCTGGGAGCAGGTGGAGGGGAGAGAGAGGGGAAGTGCCGGGAGCCTCGAGCAATGCGTCTCCACGTGAGGCAGGGATCGTGGAGCACAGAAGGCCTGGCTGAAAGGGCCCAACGAACACTCCACCTTTTGTAGTTTCAGAGCAGGAGGAGGAGGAGGAGGAGGAGGAGGAGGAGGAGGAGGAGGAGGAGGAGGAGGAGGAGGAGGAGGAGGAGGAGGAGGAGGAGGAGGAGGAGGAGGAGGAGGCAAGCGGAGATGGAGACGGGAGTGGGAAGGAGACAGGTAGAAAAGTCGGCCTGAGCAGGACACCATGGCGCAAAACGTGTGACGATGATCAGAGGACGACGCTGAGGCTGAGAGGCTGAGACTGAGAGGCTGAGACTGAGAGGCTGAGGCTGAATGGCTGAGACTGAGACGCTGAGACTGAGAGGCTGAGACTGAGAGGCTGAGGCTGAATGGCTGAGACTGAGAGGCTGAGACTGAGAGGCTGAGACTGAGAGGCTGAGACTGAGAGGCTGAGACTGAGAGGCTGAGACTGAGAGGCTGAGACTGAGAGGCTGAGACTGAGAGGCTGAGGCTGAATGGCTGAGGCTGAATGGCTGAGGCTGAATGGCTGAGGCTGCACGGCCCACTCATCCATCTGTGAGGCACTGTAGCATGCTGTAGCTACAATACGTGCCAGGCCTATGCAATCAGACACGTGAAGCTCTTCGTAGTGCACAGGAACATGGTACGAAGAGACATGACAACGAAGTGCGCGAGCACGAACACACCATTAAGGCGCACAAGTGTCAGTGAACAGCAATGCACTGGAGTAAGGGAGAGAAGAACAACGGTTCCAAGACAGGCGGGCGAAGCGAGCAACTTAGCACATAGGCTCCTCATGGGTTTGCACTCCTTACCAGTGCGTGTGCGGCGAGGCACTGCTGTGAGAGTGACGGGGCCGTTCTCATCCATCGACTGCATACACCACAAAGGGGGGGGGACAAAGGGGGGGAGCGCGGGGAGAAAGAGGGCGGAAAAGGAACGGTAAGAAGGAGACACAGGGAGACGAGGAGCGGTTCAATGGTTGAAGCGCTAGTAGGTACGGAGCTTAAGGAAATGAAAGACATGAGAAGAGACAGCATGGTTTATCAGGTACAACCAGCCGTTTCCCTCGTTACGCCCTACCCCTTTCCGCACGTACCTCGAGCTTCGACCCTGGAAGGCGGAACTTCGGCGGACGCCTCGATCCTGCAGGGGAGTCCTCGCGCGGGTCCCCGGGCGAGGGGAAATCACCATGCGCGCTAATCCCCGCGGCCTCCCCTGCCCCCGCAACTGCGCCTGGTGGCGGAGTGGCCTCCTCCTCTTCGTCCGCTTGAGGGGAGAAGGGGGAAACGGCCTCGGACGCACTCCGCTTGCGCTTCGTTTTTGAGCCGTTGGATCCTCCAGAGCCTACCCTCGGTTTGTCTCGCTTCCGGCTATTCGACCCCGTGGAGTTGTACGCGTTAGTACCAGCTCCAGCATTATTCCCGCCGCCAATGTCGACGGAGTGTCGACTGGATCCTTCGATACCACCACCTCCGCTTGTGTCATCTCTCGCGATTCCTCCTCCTCGTGAGCCGTGGCTCTCAAGTCCAGACCCATCGGGTGTGGAATGCCCGGCATCTGTTCGTGGGTCAAGGGAAATGTCGAAGAATGTAGGATGCGCAAAAACGCTTCAGAAAACCATATGGCTGATACAGGACCGCTTTTTCTCCTATCGTGAAAAAAGGCCCTTCGACAGAGGTCCATTGGTATCAATAGGAAACGAAATCGAAACGGAAATCGAGCTACTTTTACCGCGCATAAGATAGCGCAGAAGGACATAAAAGTTACAACAAGAGGAAAAGAGGCTATTAGCGTCTTAAAGCCAGGCGTCTATAAACCATCCGTAACTCAAAGCGCTTAAAAGAATCGGTAACTATCAAATGGATAAAGGGGGTTAACGACAGTGTTAAGCTCTGTTGTAAAATACTAGCGCCATGAAGGCTCGGCGACCGTTACGTAACTAAACCTCCGATCATTTTAAGTCATAACCGCAGTTATCTCGTATGCCATTAACGCGGATGGAGAGGAGAAAGTGCTGCCTTTCGTAACAACGACCGAGCCTGACACGTTCAACGTCTTCCAAGCTAACGTGAGGGTTACATCTACCTGGCGACTGCACCGACATTCATTTAAACCAACAACAACAAAACTTCAACGGCTCAAGAATTCGCCGGTTCCAGCTACCAGCATCAGCCAATAACGCTCGGCTAAGTGGACCCTCTAGCTGCGTAAAAAAATGCGAACTACTGGGAGAACAAAAACTGTTCGACGGAGCTGGGAAGTTGTTCGCAAAGAGTCTCTTATAATCGCCAAATTTCACGACTAAAAGGCCGACAGCACGACACTGTTCACTAATGCTCATGAACAAATGCGGACTGATCTTCTTAACTTCCTCAGGGAACGTCAGATCCACACCGTAACTTCGCATCATCTAAAAATCTAGGAGACGGCTCGGGATCTGATAGAGTAATTGAATGACTACGCATTGTCGACTAATATCTAAATTACCTTGAGTCTCCTTAGGTCCAATGGAGCTCCGCGAGCGACGCTGCGTCGGAGTGGTCACGGGACCCTTATCGCCTTTTCTCGTTTCTCTCATCCTGTCCATCGTCTCAAAATAACGATCGGGAATTCTGACTTCAACAATATCCACGCGACTGGAAAATCTGGCCTATCGAGGAAAGCCTTCACGCCTAACGGCGTATCTAGAAAGCCTGAAAAAAAAATCTAGCCGCAACGTCGGCCAGCCTTCATTAAATTCCTAACTGCGTCAGCGTCTAGGCCAAACTCGGCCTCAGTCACGGGACTGGCATTGCGACCAACACCCATCGCAACAACCAGCGAAACCAGAAGCAACCAAAGGAGAACAAATCTCCGGTCAAAACCTTTCCATGACCTTACTTCTGCTTCTTCCACAACCCCAGACACACGCATCTAGAACCTCGACGGATAGAGGCTCTGGTAAAAGGGGGAGGAAAGGAAAGCAGAGAGGAGAGGAGAGAGAACTGGAGAGGAACGGAGAGGAGGCTTGCAGGCAGCAAAACACCTTCGCAAAGCAGTTGGTGCTTCCTTCTCCCGCCAATCAAAGCGAGGTTTTCAAAACAAACCCCTGATTGGGCCGAGGCATATCCAGCCTCCAGCCAGGCTCGGCACGGGTTTGGCGGGGAAAGTAAACGCGAGAGATGCGAGCAGGTTTGGTCGTGCAGGTCATTGGTTGAGATCGAGGTTCGAATGTCCGAACCTTACTTTCCCAGACTGCTGACCTGGAGATAGGTGCCAGACGTCTCACTTTTGCTTGGTTGAATTGATGTTGCTGTCTTCGAGATTGCTGAAGCTGCTGATTATATTCGGCCAACATCATTGATACTCCAAGTATGCCAGGGACTTTTTGCATCAGACACTTTTCACTCTAATAAAAACTCCGAAATGTGACAGAAACAGAACGCGATTACAGAACACTATTGTGTCGAGGTGCTACCTAATAATATACACTATTGTGTCGAGGTGCTACCTAATAATATACAAAAAAAAACATTGAATACTCAACCCTTTACAAAAAAAAAAGTTGTATCAATTTCCAATTTCGTAAAGATAAAAAACCCATTGGAAAAAAAATGCAGACTAGAAATAACTCAACAAAGTAGGGTCGACGAGACTGTCAACTCTACGTCGAATATGGACCTGCTGACCTCATACGAAAGAAAACTAAAACCCCTTTGGATGGCATCAACCCTAAACATCATGCGACAAGGTGTTTAGGGTTGATGCCATCCTGACTAGATGCCTTTCAGTAGGAGGGTTATTTTTTATTGTCAGCGTGTAGCAAGCTCCACTGGGCGGGGTTGTTTTTCCAAGCACATAGTCCTAAACACTTGAAGAAATCCCTTATTTAGGGCTAATATTCCCAAATTCTGTCCTTTTGTCCAAGCGTTTTAGTATGCTTCCATTTTTGTTGGGTATGTGTGGACCTGCTGGTGGCGACTTTGTTTCAAGATTGTGCTTATACCTAAATAAACACTATGTCTAGTTACTATAACGAAACATTCTCGGCTGAGTACGTTTGTAAACCGCGTCTGGCATAATTTGAGCATCAATGATATTGGCCGGATTATATTCCTTGCCTTGATTCGAGCTGCGGCCGAGCCACACCCGACGTCCAGGCTTTGTGGGGTTTCCTGGAGATGGCTTGGAGGCGCCAAGTGCCCACTGCCACGTGGTTGAGGCGTGACTGGTTGCTGGTTGAAAAGGGTGATCCAGAGTTTTGAGCTCCTGTGTGAGGTTCCTGCGCATGACATGGCGACGGAATACAATCGGCTCCTGATTGGCTAAGCTAGCGGCTTTGGGGAATCTGCGCTGCTCTGGCTCCCAGGAACCGCGGTTGCGACTGTTTAGTGAGTGGAAGGCCACAGCAAAGCTGGCCAACAAACTCATCAGGCGGGCAACTCTGGACCGAACCGAACCAGAACTCAAAATGAAGCTCACACCCCCCATTGAAAGGAAACCCTCTCTCATCGACCAACGATCGGATCCAATATCAATGGCCAAAGTGGTAGCTTGGCCAAACGAGGCTTCACGGAGAATATCGTGGCTCGGAATGCGACCAGACCAAAAGCCTCGCTCTGGTTGAGGTGAATAGGCTTCACCCCGGACTTTAAACCTACCAGAGCTCCGACCGAGCCACAGGTTGAGCATGCCATACCTAAACCAGCCACGTCATCAGCGTCTTGAAACGGTGACAATTAGGCTGTTAGTGACACATGATTGGTTGCCATCCTCGATTATGTCGGTCGCTTTGGAGGCTGATGTGTCGAAGGAAAGCCCACATGTTCTGGACTGCTGAGTCGTTTAGTGACGGCTCAATGGTTGGCCGAAAAAACCTTTCTTCCTGCCCTACAAGAGGGGAAGCTACAAGTTACCAAAATATAGGCATTGCCACGTCAGGGCTCGGCAAGCACGATGTGGACTGCCCTAAACCTTCGGAAACAGTACAGTACAACTGTCGTTGTTCATTATCGGGTACAGTCCAAACTTCTTCTATGCACTTTACTCAAATTTGGATATTCAAAACTTCAATTTCAGGTGCACACAAAACAATCAAGATGGACTTTTGGAACCCAGTTACTATGTGCAGCACCTTTATGCAATCATATCATAACTAAATTTGTATACAATCCCACTAAACGACCAATAGCGAACCAAATTGCATATCAGAACCAAAGAGGCTTGATGTATGATGTGGGGAGGGTTTAATGGGTAAGAGCAGGGCTGATTTTATCAGGGTAATTACCCTGATTTCAGGGTGATTTCAGGCTTTCCAGTTCGTGGAGACTGAAATTTCAGAGTTATTGAATTTTCAGCCCTGATCCAATCAGAGTAATAGTTTAGCTATCCCTGATTTTGAGTACAGTGTAACAGACTAGGCTGTTAGTGGACCCTGACTTAACAGAGTATCGACTGTGTGGACCCTGACTTATCGAGAAGAAGTTTCTCGGAAGTTTCGTTCCGATGACCCCGCCTTGGATTGATTGTAGTGATCCCCCCACATGTGCGTAACCCCTCCCCTTCCCGCTTTATCGAGATGAAGTTTCTTCGAAACTTCGTTCTGATACACCTACAGGCCTGTCGATTGACGGGCATATGCCCTTAATGCCCTGAACATTCCGGGCTACTTTCGCTCCAGCTCGACTGCATAAAGTGTTAGGATCGCCCTGCACCCGTGCCACTAAGTGCTTCGTTCGACCCTTCCCCGGATGCGTTAAGTGCTCCAACCAGGCCTCCCCACCCACAAAGTCTTGATTTCCGGTTCTAGGACCCCCCCCCCCCCAAGAAATTCTGCCTGACCCCCCCACTCCCCCCCCCTTTCTCCTTAGGTTGCACGAGAGTGTGCCAAGGGGATTTTTCCCTTAGCGGTTTCTAGCCAATCCCGTGTTTGTGATATCTCTAAGTCAGCTTTGGAGCAGCCGAACTTTCCCTTAGCTAAGATAGTGTAAGTGCAAGCCCGGATTTCAAGTTTTCACTTTGGCCTGCGCCCGTGACCGTTAAGGGCGCCAAAACACTCAGCTACGGCCAAAACAGGGTCAGATAGGGAGGAGCTGGGGACTCCAAGTATGGGCCCCAGGAACTTCGACAGGCCTGTACACCTACCATCGAGATCGCGCGAATCTGCAATGTCAGATATACTTTGCTGGGATTGGTCGAAATAGGCTCTGACAGCGGAAATCTTTGACTCGAACAGGTGTGACTCGCCCGTTCGGTCGGTACACTCGCTCCAGAAGGAACGCCTCTGAGGGTGACTAACTACAGTCGCAGCGTGTCTGATGCATGCCAGCTGAAGAGATCCGACGTCAGCGCGCGTTACTACTCTGATGTTCAGTTCTCGACCCTGAACAATCAGTATTAACTACTTTACAACCCTGAGCAATCAGGGTACTGCTTTTCTGGAAAATGTGCACCCATAATAGAGGGGGAATTTTTTCCCCGGAATCAGGGAGGCTTAAAATGAAACATCAGCCCTGGGTAAGAGGCTACGTGTACGGGACTATATACGGTGTGATTAGCACAAATACACACAAGCCTTCGAGCTAAGCATTTATCACCGTGCTGAGCATCTACGCCAGGCTACAGTTGTCCTCGGCGTGACAACGACACACTGCAACTTTGCTCTGACAATAGACGGGTTAAGATGTACAGTAAAAAATGCGCAT